TACTTTGCAAGAGAATTAATCAGGAAAAAACCCACATTTGTTACTTCATGCTGTTTAAAAGGCCTACCCATGAGATACTCCAAAGGGAAGAGAAAGTTCAAAATAATCAAAGAAGACTTAGAAAGTTTTTCTACAGAAAAGATTAGCATTTATGAACTTAAAAAAATCAGAACTCTCTACAGAATTTAGTTTCCATATATCATCAGTACTCTAAGGAGAGAGAACAGGGGAGGGAGGAGAGATGGGTGTCTAAACCACTGAATATTTCCTTGCCAAAAATAAATAAATAAATAGGTATCTATTTATTTTAATATTTTTTCCTAGGCACTGAAGAGGACTTAAGATACAAACCCCTGATTTGCTGGGGTGTGCAACCCAACTTACTTTGGCTATTTCTTACTTAACTTCTTTTTTGTATATAGCTTAAACTCTCCACACTAGGTCATTCAAGTCTTGAGTCACCAGAAAAAAGAAGGCGCTGTTTAAAGTATGGCAGACAACCAAAAGTTCAGACAGCTGCAATGAAGGATTAGTTGTGGGTTTTTCTCACTGCCTTGCTACAAACTGCATCACAGCTCTATGTTCAAACATTATTAAATGGGAATGTTTTCTCTGGCACTGACTGCTTCTCCCCACAGTTTAAGTATTGAATTTTTTTAACTGAAGTAGCTTTGGTTTACGGCTCACATTAGAACTTAAAAACATATTTCCATAGTAGCTGGCATATGCAGGCAACTGTTTATTCTCAGTACCAGCCATAATAAACACTTGTACTTTTATAATCCAACAAATCTTTGTCTTATCACAACTCCGGGTTTAGAGCTGTAAAATTCTCTAAGTCTGCCTTTATTATCTATATGGAACAATAATTCACTGTAAAGGATGTGGAGATACACGGTGGGCATTAATGCCAACAGCCTATTGAGAAAAGGCTCTGTAAAGCAGGAGACGCTATAGGATTTTCAGGGGAATAGCTTGTCTTGAGGAGACGCACATTTAATTCTACCTTGAACTTATTCTGGCAAGTAGGAAGAAATGGCACCTCCTTGGTCGGACGGGCTTTCCGGGTGAATTGAGAGCAGCATCTGACTAACTTTTGGGTTTATATTGTAGCATTCCAAAGCAGCAAAGCTCTGGAAAATGGAGCGATTTGAGTTCACTTTTGGCTCATGCATTGTCAACAGAAGTAACGAAGGCCTGCTTGCAGAATCGCTGTGGTGAATGAAAGGGCACAGCAGGACATTTGAATTCCCGCTGAATTTGCCAGAACTGATCATTCTAAAACTATTTGGTTTTTTGTAACTGACTTTATTGGCTATTGGAATTGCCGAGACACAGAAGTATGGAGCCTGCGATGCTGTTTTATGGGAACAGAATTAAACTTTGAGCAGAAAAATCACTGCCACCCTTCTTCCTTTTTTAATGACTATTGCTGTTTATGAGGATGAATCAGCAATAATCCAGTAATACATGAAGCATTACTATCACTAAGAGCAGGTATTAATTTGAAAAAGATTACATGCTCAGCACAGTCTGTCCGATACACACTGATTTCCAATCTGTGAATGTTTTCCCTTGCCCAAGCTTTGGTTCTTACAGAAGAAAGATTGTCCTGACAGCCAGCCGTCTTGTTTAGCACAAAACTACATACCCACTTCAGGGCGCCAGCACTTGTGATTCGGTTTAATCTTCAGCTTTCAAGCAGTTCCCCATCAGGCAGGACCCCATCCAACAAGAGATCAAGCACAGGACTCGCGCTGGGTGCAGACCCTCATGCTGGCCATCTGCTCGAAAACGGACTTCACCCACCCCTAACCTCCAAGTGGAGACTGAATGACATGCTCAGAATTATTGCGGACTTGCTGTGGGCAAACAAAGGCAGATCAGAGGCCAACAGCAGCTACCCAAGTACCCATCTTTGTTACTAGAAATGTCAGCAATTGTTAAAAAGTGTGATTGTACAGCTCCACAACAAGCAATACTATCACCAAGGTTTGATATGAATTTTATCTCCAGGGTCTGCCCGGGGTCAGCAGACACATGGTTATGGTACAGGCGCTGCATTCGAGTCAGTCACACGAACGTGGTGGCTTCAAAAAAATGACGCTTCCCTGAGCATCAGCATCATACCGTAAGCCTCGTCAAAAAAAGAAATGGAGACAAAATCTAAATATGCCATCGGGTTAGGCAGAAGCTGCTAACATCTGAGTCAGACAACTCACGACTGCAAGAATTTGGGGTGGCAGAAGGGAGGCAAGAACCATATTCCCACAGCCTCCCAAGAAGAGCTGGCAGGATCAGAGAAGTGGAAGAAAAGACACTAATTTATTGCAGTCACATGTAAATGTTGGCATTTAACAATAGCAGCAGCAAAAGAAAAATCAGTTAAAAGAACCTGAGAATGCTGAAAAAAGCCACAATAAATACTGAAGAACTGGAAGAGGAGCTATTTCTCATTAGAAAAGAACAAAGGTTTGAGAACTACTTGTACTTATTAAGATTGAACTGGCTTGGGACCATATGTAGTGGAAATTAAGAAAGCCAGAAAAAATCCACAGACACTTGAACAAAATGAAAAAGGGATCACAGTGCCATTTCAGGAGGCCGTGAGAGTATCAGTTGCCTCCTCAAGTTAAATGGAACGGTAAAGGACATCACACTTACTTCATGTAGGCTTAAGAAAAACAAACCATTGGCTAATGGACACCTTAGTAAATCATGAAATCCCCACCTGAGAAGGCACAATAGCAGGGGATTTTAGCTGCAAGGTCAAGAGCCGAGGAAATGACTGAACATGAAAAGAGATCAGCTAAGGAAGCCTTGAAGACAGAATCACAAGCTTACCAGAAAATTGATAATACCCAAGAGACTTGCAATGGTTGAATAACTGTTCATTGAAGAGGAAAAACTAGGGTTCATAGGCACTAAATGCATCTCCAGTGTAAACCATTAAGTCAAATGAATCAGAAAACAGCCTGGTGCTCAGTGTTTCACTGGTGGAAGGAAAATACTACAATATTTTACCACATGCTTTGTTCTTTAAAAAAGATTATGGCAATCTCCGACAATTAGTGCTGGGGAGAGGAAGGGAGTTCTTTAATGGGAAAGAAATAATTGCGGATGGCAAACCCAGGAGATCATGGAACTGATTTTCTGTCATCTCGTACCTACTGTAGTCTATGCTACTTGCTTCACCAACAGGCAAAATCCAATTAGAAGCTTTATGCACATGTTATTTCCACACAAGATGTATAGTTATGGACAAACTCAGGCCCAGGAACTTGAATTACAGGCACATCTCTTGGAAGTCTTTAAGGTTTTGCACTACCTACAGACAGCACACAAGCGCTTGGGCACCGCAGAAGCAAATAGCCAGGTCTGTGCTTGGCAAAGCTCCTATGTTGGTTTGGTAACTTGTAATAAGAAAAAAGTAAATGAAAAATGTTGTGAAACAAAGGCAATGTAGATAGATCCATCCGCCCCCCACCAACTCTATGCTCTTTAATGGCAGGATTCCTGGGTTTGAAAGCCAGAGAGATATCTAAGATTAAGTTATTCAGGCATATGATCTTAACACCAATCAATGAGTTTCTGAGGAGGAAATCTGGAGTTGTCCTAGGCAGGCTGGAAAGCAGAGAGACCAAAGAGGCCTCCAGAGCGGTAACCTCTCCCTTGAGCATACATACACTTCCAGCAAGAGAAAACTAGGGACAAGCTGGAGAAGTTACCCCAGCTGGGTATTATAAATACATGTATTTCACAGGGAAGTAAGCGATGGTTTACAATCAACTGCTTGTAAGTTTTAAAAGCAAAGTTAAATTCTTACATAAAATTACAATAAATGGAGTCCCAATATTGTGTGGAACAAAAAGTGTAAGAAAATCTGATACGCCCTCTGTATGCTCAAATTCCAGTCTTGTTACCACAAGTGGAGCTGGGTAAATCTCCTAAAGTTAAAAGGCTCTTGACTGATTTTAATTTTGAGAATAAAACAATCTGCCCATCAACTTTAGCGGATTAGTTGTGATTTATACTTGAGAAGCTAAAAAAACCCCCAATCTGATCCTTCAAACACCTTTCACACACACTTGAACATTTTAAAATGTTTCATTTTCAGAAGCTGAAGAACCCTTATACCTGATCCTCTGGATTCCCCTTCTTGTTCTCTGTAGACACTCAATAGTGTAGACACTATACTTCTACAGCGTATGTAAGCTACAGCACCAGAACTCAGCAAGATAGTATCGTTCATGATTTGCCTTTTTAAAAACCTAAAGCAGATTTTAGTCTTGTAGTTCACTTCCATTCAGCTGAATTAGGGTTCAGTCATAAAGACACTGAACGTTCTTGTCTGCCCTTGATGTAAGCGGGATGAAACCACCTGCAGGACTTGGGTCCTTAAAAATGAAAGAGGAAAGCAAAGGATGAAATCCTCTGAGGTCAGTGGGATTTCTGCTCTTCAGTACTCTTGTGCACTAATTCACTACTCTAACACAGTATTTTTCGGGCCTTCAAAGTACTTCTGTATAGGTCTCTGCCATATAGTTAATAAAATGTCAGGAATTCACATGCAAATATTTTTCATGACTCCACTTAAAATTGCCGCAGTCTCTACCTGTACTTAATTTTGGATGAAAGCTATGCAGACAGTCCCACAAGACAGAAAAGAACACGCAAACTGTTTTCTACAGGAGAGAACACTAAATATATCGCCCATCATTATTTTATGCAAGATTGGCCCCACCTCACACAGGAATGACATGTTGTTTCAACAGAAAGAGTAAGAACTGGTAGGAAGAAGGAATTATTTATTATTCAGTTCTAAGTGACCTCAGTTTCACATACTGGAATTTAATTTAGTTTTTAAGAAAGATCAACACTGCTTACAGAATTCTTTAACCAGTTTTTACAAGATCACTAGTTGTGCTTTGTTAATCTTGAATGTATCTTAACATCTTTCAGGTGCACTGGGATTCAGTATCACTTTATTCAACATCATAGAAAAAGACATATATAAATAACACAATACATAGCTCAGAAAGTCTAGAGGGACTGTTATGTCTTCCATGGTTTATAATCCAACAAAAGTTCTTTGGAATTTAGCCGTACTGTTATAACATAGTAGAACAGCACTGCAATGAGGAACCTTAGTGTCAGCCCAGAAAATACAAATAGTCTGCTTTGTTGTGTTTTTTGTAAAGGACAGAAAGCTCAAGAGGAAAACCCATATGCACCAATTCTGTAAATGCACAGTGAAAAGCCACGCTCACGGAAGGGTCAGTGCAGCATGGAAGTGATCTTTCAGGAGTGGGTCTTGTGACATAAGGAGGAGTTTAAAGGAGCAGCTTTGAGGTATATCTAACTGAAACTACAGGTGACCAAAAACAATAGTAAGGAGCAATGGTGAGTCTTCACTTTTGTAAAATACTTTGTGGTGCGCTTCCACTCATCAGGATTCCTTCTTCTCCTCTACTTCTAACAGCTCATCAAGGAATTCCACAACTTCATCCTAGAAAGGATTAAATTTAACAGAAATAGTTTAACCCTGTGCTGCAAAATCAATGGAAAAATTTAACCATTTTAATCAAAACATAAACTGTAATAATAGGTGTCTAAATATTTTTTCACACCCTTCATACAGAAGCTAGCACAACAAGCCTATAAAATGCAAGTAAATGGCTCGTATGGGGGTAGCACAAGTACTTGCAGTGACACACATCTTAAAAGAAGGAAATGTTACACTTCACAGTAAATCCTCTTGTACTTTTTCAGGCATTTAAAGAAAGAGACAATGAAATCCTCAACCTTAGAAAGTAGACGCATAAACGTTCAAAGCACCTGTTAAACTATGAAATTGTTAAAATATCGTAAAACATTAAAGAATTTTAGAAAGCTTCAAAATTCAAAGCAAAAGCATTTTGTAGAACCGTAACTTTGACTTTGCATCTGTCTGCGCTAACCGTTTCTGTCCTCTGTTACATCTTTTGACATGCACCTTCTCCATTTTCAACCACAGATCTTCACATGCTGTGCTTCAATGCAGCAAAAATGTAAAGAATGAGAGATACTGGAATGTTTCCCATACTGGAAACAAATATGTTGGGTTTAGATACAGTCCAGAAAATACTATCTTTACAAGCTCCACTCTGCTAATACAGGGTACCAACACAACATAACAATCCAACCTGCTTTATTAAAACTACTCCTGATGTAGTTATATGTCATATACCATAGTCTAATGTCTTCCTGCAGCCAAGCCTGAGTACTTTGGGATGATACAGCCCCACTAGCTGGAATTTACTGCCTTGTCAACCAAACTACAGTTACTGAGCTAAAACTTGTTGTAAGGCTTTTTCCAAAACAAATCATCACCTTCTGATAGAAAAATATTCTGCTGGAAAATGTGATCTGCTCTTACTCGCTCTTATGTTCAAAATAATAAGAATTTATAATAGCTACGGTGAAAGCAAGTCATCCTTGCTTGGATGCCCACTCTCCCTCTTCCCTTCACCCTTCATTCCAAGCCTTTGTGAACTGTATTAGGCTTCTGAGTCTGCTTGATGAAGACTGCAAACAGTATTTTACAATCCTAATTAAATGTTAAGCACATTTTTGTCTAGAAAGGTATTCCTTAGGAAGACAGCACCTTCCAAACAGTTGCAGTCTGAGACTCAAAATTTTACAGTTTTCTATTCTGGTGAGGATAGGGCATTAAAACCTCTGTCAGTGAAAATTACAAGCGGAAATAAGAAATTTATGTCTATTTTGAATACAACAATTGTATTATGGATATGGTGATTAAAAAATTAACATCACATTTTTCAGAAGTGTGATTAGCCAGGAAAAAAATAATGAGAACCAAGCAAAGAAAACTAAATGTGGGAGGAAAGCTGGCCGAAATAACTGCTGCTCTTGTTCCCTTGCTTCACAGTTCCATCTTAAAGGACTGTTGAGTTTTTGCAACTATGAAGTGGTTTCAGCAAGTCCTGAAGGATGGCAATTTATTTTGCTTTGAATTTGTTCAAAACATCTAAGTATCCAATTCAATAAAAACACAAGAAAAAATGCCAGCACTTTCATATTCCCTACTTGTCTTCCTGGTTGCAGGAAATCTGGCAACTGGAAAACAGGAATTCAACATTTCTGCACGTTTTCCTTTGTTAGAAGTATTTTGATTGCCTAAGGAGCCCAATCGTGGGAGGAACTCAATACCACTTCACAAATGCACATGAAGAAAAATAGCCACTAGGTCCAACAGCCACCATGCAAGCAGTTGAAAGCTACAGAAACAGAGGCAGAAAGGACTTCAGGTCAAGTTTTTTAGCACAGCTCCTAAAACTGGTGGCACAAGCATTTGGGTGCCTCTTGAAGGGCTACAGGCAGGCAGGTCCCGTTAACACTGAACAGAGTTACGAGACTGGGAATACAGGTGTCTACTGCAGGGGTCCCAGATCTAATTCAGACTGTTTCTTTTACACCTCAGGATCATAGTTTAATGAAAGAATAACAGACACTAAAAAGGATCTCTCTCCTTGGTCTACCTGCAAAGACAACCGTCAAAAGGTAAGAGTCTGAGAGGTGGGGTTAAAGGCATAAGCATCTATTCTATGACTCTATGCACTGACTGGATGACCTAGAATTAGGTATAAGGAAGACCTGGGGATTTCAATACAGAACCTTTGGTAACTCAACCATATGGGAACTTAATTAAATTCGTATTATTGTCACACTCATCAGTAAGGTAGGTCATTTCAGAAGACAAAGAAGATGCAGAGAGAAGTCAAGTTTTTTTCTTCTGGTATGTTTTCAAATTCAGAAACTCATAAGGAGCCCAAGTTTTAAATGGAAAAGGATATTTAAAAGCAACAGTATTTGAAAAAAAATCTGAAATTTCAAGTGCCTGAAATTGACCTCTAAAGGAAAGTATGATAGAAGCTGTTGCTATCTAATGAGAAGTACTGGGGAGTAAGAGAGGTTGAATTATGGCAAAAATATAAAAATAGTTGCTGAAACAATATACATACAAAAAATATACTGTAATGCAACTGAATAATTGCTGGATGTTGGTTATTTTTGAAGAGGCAAAAACTCCAGATTACAGTTAAAGACAAACAAAACCTGTCCTTAAAGTATTTTTGCCTGCGCCTTCATGGTCAGAATGTAAAACATTTTCAATTGTCCATAGGGTGGTTGGCAGCCTAACGAAAAGGCGATAACGCTCCATCAGAAGAGCTGATCCCATTGCCACACCAGCAGCTATGATCAGACTATCACTGTCTTTGCCCCATTAGCACTCAGTTGACACCACATCAGGCATTTTGCTGAAGTCAGCAAGTATTCCACAGGTGTTCATTCCAGGGAATAACTTCATGCTGGCCTGCATACCTGGAGCCTGAAAATCATTCTCTGATATGATTTAAGCATTCAGTGTGACAAGAGTTCCTCCTGTTAACTGGTATGCTCTTTGGCTCCTACCTACCTTAATAGGAAGGACAGCAAATTTCACATGCACAGTCAGCTGCAAACCCATAATTCTTTCTGCTGCCAGCTACTAGAAGAGACAACAGCCACCCAGTTCTAATGCAGGTTACATAAATATGCTTCTCCGACACAGTGCTGATGTAAATCAGAGTTGAGCAATATATGGCCCAAAGCGTGATGCAGCTGTCTGGCTTGTAGCTAGTAAAACAGTAGGTGAAGTCTGACTAAGCTTGGGGAAGAGAAGGGTTTGCCGCCAGACCAGTGCAAGCCTGATAGTTCGGCAGCTAACAACTGGAACGTACGCACATGAGTACTGCTTGGTCAACCACGGTGAAGCACACCCTCATTAGCAAGCTGGCCCTCGGTCCACAGTCGCTGCCTCCTGGTTTGCACTGGAGGCCAGGTACACGCTGCAGGTACAACAGCTCTACTGGCACCCCATAACCTCCCTCCCTGTGCTACCAACCTCTTCCGTCTCCCAATCCAGGGACAGTCAGTGGAAAGTGGGAGAGACAGCAAGGATGTATGGGGAAAAGATGGGACAGGTATAGCCTGAAATATGGGAGGCATGATATCGAACAGCAGTAGGGGAATGCTCCCAGACTGGTGTGAATGGTAGGAAGAATCAGAGAAGCTGATCTGATCGACTGGAGCCTCTAATTATCTGTCAGATATGCAAACTGAGTACCCTTGGCTTAGATTAACAACTGAACAGAGGCACAAACAGAAAGAACAGGTTTCATACCACAGTAAGTAATTCAAGAAGGTTTTACAGAGGGTACATGAGTAGGCGGATTGTAATAAAAAATAATTTTAAAACAGAGTTCTTGGTCAATTCTGAATAAGCTAACCCAGGCTAGTGAGATTGGTGCACTGTTGTAAGTGAAGCTAGAGCATTTGAAAAAATAAGTCCTAAAAAGGAGAAAAATGCAGAACTCCTCATTTATTACCACAAGATGAGTGTCCAAGACCAAGGTACACATTGGGCCAGGGATTGTTGCCGGCCCTTCCTTATGCAATATTAAATGCTGTATTCACACGCACAAAACACCACCTTTTAGAAGAAATGTCTGTATTTTTGGAGACTCCTAGCCAGCTATTAAAACAAACAGCAAAAAGCTACTAATACGTGGCTCAGTTATGGCCCGCTTGAAACTGATGGTCCAGCACCAACTTTTCTTTTGACAGCAGCATTTAAAAATTGTAGCAATCAGTAGCAGTTGTACTGCTCACTGACAGACCCAGACGCTTTGCCTTTGGTTGCTAAGACTAAGCATTGCCTTCTGTGTAGCAAATATTAATCATTCATGGATCCTTGCCTCCACCTACGATGTGTTCCATCTTTTCTCAGTGCAGACTGGAAAAGTTATGGGAAAAAATAGCTTTCTTGCAATAACCCATACTTTCCATGCAGATCTGCTGATGGCCTTTTCTATAGGGATTCCATATGCACTGCAGTGGGATAGCCTGTTCTTCAGGGAAGCCACAGAGAATATTAAAATAGCAGTGTTCTAGGATGAATTAAGATCTACAGAAAAATATTATTACGGCCATGCTTTCATGCGTGATTATCAGTGAATGAATATGAAACAGTCTTTATCCTAACGCATGCAACAAACTGAGCCTTAAGAGACAATACACATAGCAAGAAGAATTGGCTGGATCTTTGTTTCCTTATAGTCTATGAGCTAGAAGGAAAATATTTATCCCACAAAATGTCCCCCAGCTGTCCTTCACAGCAAAAAAAATCAGATTTTGCTAAAGTCCAAAGATCTTAATGACTGGAAACTTGTTCAATAGTGAGAGCAACAGATTTTGTTCCTGCATGTATTGGGTGTAGGTGGCAAGGTTGTGGTAGTGGGAGGGGTTGCAGGGGTGGCCTCTGCAAGGAGAGATCAGGACTGCCCTGTAACTGCCCCGGTTACTAATTTGAATAACTAATGGGAGTAGTGACAAGGAGTTAGTTCATGAAAACCAACAGATTGGGTTCACGGACGAATAACCATCTTACAAGAGAGAAGACAAAGGTTTGATAAGGCTGACTGTGGAGGACACATGCTCCATGGGCCTGATAGAGCCTGCAAGCGAACACCACACAGCCCACTGGCCAGTGATATTTTGGGGGAGAACAACATTATTTTGGGATAACAGTAAGGCATGTGTCAATGAGTGGCTCAGCCTGAAAGGTTTATTCAGCATTCGACCAAGAAAAAGTTCCTTGATCTAACCTTCAGTTAAAACACGCGAGTTCACTGTAACCACCTCAAAGCCCTCCCAGATCCTCCACGAGCAGTACAGACCAGGCTGGACATTCCTTGCATTCTAGCAGGGGAAAAAAAAAATCCCTCAATTCTTTGTGCAGAAAAATTATTTGGCCCTTAACTTGTTTATTTTTCAGATACTTAGTCCACAGTGTGACCCACTGTCACATGCTTTTAGGGTTTTTTTTTAATATTAAAAGAGCTTAGTTGTTCTTTACATGTATGTTAACTTCTTTTCTCAAATATGTTTCCATTTCATTTTTTTAATGCTATATTCTGAACACGTAACTGTTGTCTTCCCACATACTATGGGAGATTGCAGTACACTGCAGTTATTACAATAGTATTTTACAGTAATCCAATAAATGTGCTTTCCTCTTAACATTTTTATAATGCCTATAAAACATGAGTCAACCCAGTTTCAGAGCAGCTTCAACACTGCTCCCATTGCAGTGAAAACAGAAGCCTTCTAGCGGCTTTGTTTCTGAGCTCCAGCCACATGGGCAGTATCTCCACTAGGAAATGATCATGAAAAAAATCTTATCTTTTTTCTTTAAAGAAGTGTATGTTGAATAGGGACTATAAGAATGCCAATTATCTGCCAACTCTCTCTGAAATAGATGCCACCAGCTCTTCCCAGCGTAGCGGTGCTATTGTAGCCATGTTGGTCTGAGGTCACAGGCAGGGCAGGGTTTACAGGTCTGCATTTACGACTTGCCATTATGAGTGCACTTGTATAAATCATTTGAACGTATGCAAAAAGTGAGTTAATAAAGCTAATTAGTGGTTCCTGAACAGAAAAATAGGCTAAGTCAGATTATTATTTGCTATCAGTAGTCTGCTGGGCCCTCGTGCTTTGATGCTATTCCACATGTTCTCTTTCGCCCAGTCACATCAGTTCAACACTTATTCTCCTTTGCATCACACTTAGGAATAGAGCATTTGGATTTCAGCTACTATACAAATGGACACACACATCACATACAAATAAAAAGAACAAGATGCCAAAAAAGTGGGTCAAAGCTGCCAACAGTTTTTCACCTACTGATTAAGTACTGAAAGAAAAATCACACTGTAGGATCATCCCAGCCAAATACTTGTGGTTCTTATGTAATTTAGCAGAGCTAAGTAGCTATCCCTGAAAAAAAATTCCTCAAGAACACTGATTTTAGGGGCCAGAAACATGTCTCATACAATTAGCATAGTGCTGAAGTTGTATCTACACTAGCTGAGTATCTGGCTCTTAATGGCATTTCAGTTTGCTGTTTAAATCTGTGCAATACTAGGAGTTATATCTATTATAGCCTTTATGCATTACACATCTGAACAGAAATCAAAAAGCTTGACTATCCATGGCCAACTCAGATGACAACACTGTGTAATGTTCTTTTAACTTCACTGTGGAAAACTGTAAGGATATTTAATAATAATTACTTTAAAAAAAGAGTAATTTGTAGCTAGTTGGCGCTAATATTTTCTGTCACCTCTACAGTGTTAAATTTTTCATTTCCTTGTGGAAAAACATTAATAAAGTAACACGAACAGGACAGTAGTCCTGTAGTGCATATGCAAAAATCATTACTGCATGTTCCAGCCTCTGCAATTACTGCAATGTATTATTGCAAGAAGCCACATGTTCTCACTCACTTTGGTAATGGGATTTAAAAAGACACACGGATGATCCAGCTTACAGGAGCACTGAGAAGTCTGAATAAAGTGAGATTCTCCACTTGGGAATAATGACATATCACATAGGAAGAGATCCTTTTGCCACATCAATGCTTTTGCTTCACTCAAGGAAAGAGAATGGGTTTTTTTCTGCAGATTATTTTATGGGCTTGTTGGCCACAAGCAACTTCTCAGACAGCAAACACAGACCACAGAAACTCACAAAAGGTATGGCCTATGGTCCAATAAGCACATGGTTTAAATAGAGTGCACTAAAAAGAGAGGTTTCCTCCATCCTTACAATTTTTAATAAAGCTTTTACTGTAACACCTTATCTGGGGTTTTCATCAGTTTTCAGCGTTCCTATAGAATAAACTTTTCTATCTGTGCCAGGAGAAATATTAAAAAAAAAATAAAATTCCACTTACACTACCAGGTCCTGCCCATACAGCAAAAACTGCAAGGTAGCGATTTTACCTTTGTGCTATTCCTGCTCTGTCTGGACTCCCTGGAAGGCTTCTGCAGCCAAAGAGAACTTCTGGTAGCCAGGGATTTATGAGTTCACTACCAAAGGCCAGAGCCAAACCAGAGGCACGGACAGCCTCCTTCCCTCCCAAGTTCTTCAGCCCTAGTAAATCAGGGCACAGGAGCCCTTCAAGCTTTTTCTCGTGAGAGGAGAACGATGACTTTCCTAATATGACGAGAGTGTGGGGTAGGGGTATCTGTGGCATGACCAGGCCCAGTAATTTTGGTTGTTTAACCCAAACATATAATCCAGTGCAATGTGACTTCCTTGACACTTCCCCAAAAGTTTAATTGATGTTTCCGCTGTATTTCCCTCCTGCAGACATCTATAATTGCACCAGTGAAATGGGCTACAGGAACGAATGCCAGCAAATGAATGCTTGTTTATTCTATAGACTGTGCTTGAGGCTGAAGATTGCTTCTCTGATCCCTTCTTGGGGGATATGGGGAAAGCCCTCACAATGGACTGTTTCTCACCTTCCTTAATTACTCATCCCTGTGTTTTGAAGCAGCAGATGTGAAAGAAGGAAAAATTACAAATTAAGTTTTTGCGTAACATAAGAAAACATTATGGACAAAGCACAAACCAACAAGGGAATATAAAAAAGTGCTCAAGTATTTCCCACCCTGATGAAAATCCATAAAGACTAGCCCTCATCTAAGCTTAACCTTATAACAAGCTTATTAAACTGTCTTTCACAGAGTTTTATCACAATGGAAACTCTTTCTAAAGTCTGGTAACCTTGCAATGGAATTTTACGTATAGAGTTGTTTTCAGGTCACCAGCATACTGAAGGCAGCACAGATATGTTATTATTTCTCCACTATAAAATATTCTCTCTCCCCATGTGCTGGATAACATAAAAATTGCAAAGGTGATTTCATTTTTTAACACTAGCCATCTTTTTTTTTTTTTCTAACTAAAAAAGACCTCAGCAGTGTTCAAGTACCCTGCCCCATTCCATAACTGAACATAGCTCTTTGCCAATGCCAGCAATGAACTACTCCATCATTTGAAGATTTTTTTAAACCTTTAAATGAAAGGTTCTGAAGACAAAGCAAAACAAAAGGCAATCCAAAGCCTCCATGATTTATACTTTAATTTCAGCTGCAGGAGACAAAGAAATGCCCTTTCAACAATTTAACTACTTTTCTTGCACAAAAAAACCACTTTACATATTTCCAGTCTAATAGTAGTCATTACATGCTATTTGGCGATGAATTCCAACCATTTAAGAAGCAAGGCTGGGTGACCAAAATGTTACTGTACAGAAAAAAATAACAGGTAACAAGACTTCCTTTTGACAAAAAATTACAACTTCTGGACAAAATTATAAGGATCTTTAAATCTAATTTAAACAACATTTCAGGAAAAAAAAAAACCACAACAGGAAAATGTTGGGTTTAAATATATATATACTACTTCTCTGCCCCCTGGTGTTATAGCTTGCAAAGTGGATTTTCTTTTTTTGTGGGCTTAGTGCATTATATTTACCTTTGTATTAATACTGCCCATGTTTTTTTAAATGGTACGTGATGTTCTTTGTGTTTGTTTCTTATATTCCATTTACAAAAGAAAAATTTATGATAAACTGGTCATGGTTACAAGAAGATTTTTCCATACTAACTAAATGCTGGAATTCCATCTCTGTATCATCTTCACTTTAATGTGACTGCTGTTTTTTTGACCACGATTTCCTTTCTAGAAAACTCACCTCATCATCATCCATCAGATGTTCCTTTGCGAACTCATACATTTCCAACTGGAGTGTGGTTATGTTGTGGTATCGAACTGCCTCCTGTCAAAAACCAGAATTTCTGTGTTACTTTAGGGTAGCAAGACAGGGGAGTGTCATCACATGTCACCTGAAACTATTCCAGTGAAGCCAGACCCATACTTAGTAGAAGGCAGATCCTGGGGGGGTTAAAATGTTTGAGAAAGGAAAGAGCAGAAGAGCAAGCAGCATGGATATCCAGTGTCTTCTGTGGATCTTTCTAAGCACAGGCTCCACCGGTGTGAGAAGAACAAAGCACTCTCCTCTTTCTCATGTTTCAAAGCATTGGCGAGTCTGAGAATAAGGAATGAGACTGCCAGAGCTGAGCAGCAGGCTGTGCCTGCATTCCAGCGGGCTTTGGACGTGAGAAAGCCTCTGTCTCCCTGTGCGCTGGCGTATGGCGGCAGGCAGTTCTGGGAAAAGGAGACACTAAGCTATTTTGCATGATAATGACTCACCGCCCCAGCCTGAGTCTGGGCTAGGGAAATTCTGCATGGTCACCCACCTGTCCCTCCTCACTTCCCTGGCCGTTTGCTGGGACAGCGCAGTTTAGCTCAGTCACCTACTCTCATATTTGTGAATACCAACAGTAATCTACTTTGATTATCCTGTTTAACTCTTTGGGGAGGAAAACAGGAGAATTCCTCTTTCACAAGAACATCTAAAGCTTAGTGCCAGAGCCAAATGCTGGTGTCACCACTTTGTGAAAATAAACCATTATGGTTTTCGTGGCAAGTGATTAGGACAGCAAGCAACTTCTGTTCATATTTACATGGATCAAAGTACAAGAAAATACAGCTGTGTGCATTTAATATTTTATATCTAAAAATTAAATTTTCTGCAGTCCCCAGCTCCTGAGAAGTTATCAATGAAACATTCAGAGTTAATGTGTAGGGCCCTTGTTCTGTCCTCTCTGCACATGTATACCAAATCTGTCTGTGGTTTGTAGTTTCATACTGTTGCTACCCCTCACTCCCACCACTGTCAAACATTGTCTCCAATATGGCTATAAAGCACAGTTCTGTTCCCAAAAGCAGTGACAAAGGACTGGTCCCTTTCCCCTGTGAGCTGAGTCAGACTCACTGCTGCTGCCTGAAAGAACCAAATGCATTTTTGCTGTCTTCTGTCTCAATTGGCCCTGCAGGGCAGGCCTGGGTTTCCAGTGTGCAGATACAGTGTGTTGCACATAACTCAACAGCTGTCCACAACCAAAAAATGCTTAACTCAAATGGAGTGGTATTTTTGACTTGAGCTGGCTGGCCTGAGAGGATGCAAAACGTAATTATCAAATCAGTGTAGCCTATATGATGCATACATGAACTGCTCTGCGGTGTTACTACAGACAAAGCCAGTCACCTAAGCACTACGTACATATACTGAGATCAATGCAGCATTAAGAATCAAGGGATATGCCTATGGGCCAGTACAGGTCTCGGTGATTGAGCTGTCTGAAGAAGCAACATGGGAAAGGCAACTGGAACATTAGCCCTGGGGGTGCCTGCTGTTGCTTCAGCTAGGTTAACTTAAATGACTTCCACAGTGAAGTCGTGCTGTAAAAGAAAGAGAAGGCACTAAATTTAATTTGTGGAACATGTTATTGCTAATGACTAACGACTTGTACAGCACATACCACTGATGCCTAAGGAGTCACTCAGGTGTCACAAAGCAGTTCAATTCAGTTGCATGGCATAACATGGAACATAACTGGTAACAAGAAATGACAGAAAATGCAACTTGATTGTCATGAGTCCAGGCTGCAGGACTCCAGAAACGCAGCAAAGATGCTTTTATATGTAAAATTTCCTTGGATATGGGAATTTAAGAACAGCATAGAAACCCATTTTTAGTGTCATTTGTCTGATGTTTATTGTGGGTTCTTTGCAGCAAGCATTCTAACTGAGATAACTAGGTGCAATACAGTTGTGAGCCTTTTCCCATCATCATCCACCTAACTACGTTCTAAACTGAGTAAGTGGATAGTGAGTTTAGCGGGGGTTATCATATCTGGATACATTCCAATGCACAAAGAACTTGAAATAACAAGCAGGTGGGCAGGTACATGTTGGCAAATAATAAGTGATTGACAAAAGCCTGAATGTCACTGGAGTGATCTTTTCATCAGGGGATTTCAGGGGCCAGATGCTTTATTTATCGAGGTAGATAAACATATAAATATACATAACTGGCAGACAAGTACTAGCGTGAATTTACTCGTCATATCATATTATATCCTATTATAGTATATTTCAGCGCAAAGGGAAGAACTATAATGACATTCACTGCCTACATTACATAGTACCTCTCTGTGAACAACTTTCTGTATGATGTTAATAAAACAGTATGTGTTTTAACTCCAGAACCAACAGGTAACCTCCATTTTCACAACCTCTGACCCAAAGAGTTTCAGGGAAATATGTGAATGTGTCTAGGATGCATTTTAAGTAATTCACTTACCGATCTGGGCTGAAAATCTTCTTCTGTAAGTCCCCATTTGTCTTTGTGGTACTGATAATAGACCATGTTCTGTTTCATTACTTCATCTTTCTGGTCAAACAGAAGGTAACTAGCAGCACAAGAAGCTGCATTCTTCATGTCATTCACTAATTAATAAAAACAAAAAAAAAAATCCAGAAAGGGAAATGAACAAATTCATACTATTATGTAATCTCTGAAAAACTCTGATGGAAACAGGACCCATTTTCTACCTCCCCACCAGCTACACAGAAAGGAAATAAATTGCTTCCCAGAAAGGATATGCTATTTTTGTGTTCTGAAACAGGTAACGCCATGATTCAGAAATGGGGACTTAGGTCTGATGGTTTTCTATGAAGATCCTAACCAAATGTCCCTCCCAGGTATCCCAGTATCTGTGAGGTATCAGCCCACAGCTTGGTGATCACCACTGGGGCATTTATTACAAAATAAACAAACAAAATTACACCCCCCTCACCCCCCCTTTTACTAGCATTGACAAAGAGGGAAGAACCAATGTGTAAGATATGTAGTCAAATAACAAGCAAAAGTCATTAATGACTTGATTCTACATGGCTGGATCTGTCTCCCCTTTGGTGTTGGAGCCTGCAGGAGCAGCTATAAGGGCTACATGTGCTCTTTACAGTGCAGGTGATTCCTCAAGAAACCACAAAATTCAGTAAATGATTTACCTATCAAATGTGTAATCACTGAGCACCAGAACACTACAATTTCTGTTAAGTGGTCCCCTCTTTCTTCAAAACCTATTTAGCCTCATGTGCCCCATTCTAACAGTATTATAAGAATCTACTAGGGAAAAGCAAATGCTATGAAATACTCTCTAGGTTTGCCCGTGGAAGAAATTCTGAACAGTAAATTGAAAATTGAGTATTTATTCCATAGAATAAGTGGTGTTATGTTAAATGTGTTGCCTTGGAGCTATACATTCAGCTGCTGAACAACCATGGGGGTCTGACAGCTGGACCACCATGGCTTTTTTGCACAAACCATGGGTTTTTGTACACAGATGTACAAAATGGGCCTGTGTCATTGCACATGTTCCAATGTATAGGAAGTGGCTGACACTGCTTACCCTAACATGTTATATTACAAGTTAATTCAAAAAGGTGGAAGAGTTGGTAATCATTTAAGCATCTAAAATACATACAATTAACATTTATCATTTACATGAAACTGAAAAGTGTAAGCAACTTGTTCTGGCAGTAGGTATCATATAAGGAATGAAGGGCAGTGATGGATCAGATCACACTGACTCTGTAACTGCCTTATTTTTCCAACACCAAAGCGGAGACCAGTCACAACCATGCATAACTTAAAACAGAGGGGCCTGCCCTGGGCAAAATCCAGCCCTTATGGGACTTACATTCAGCAATTTATTTTGTCGTGGACAATTTTATGAGCGTGGGCTCTATACGTAACATTTATCTCCCATGTCTGTTAACTACAGTTATATAGGGAGAAAAAGATGCCAGGCAGTTCAGACTTTCTGTACCAGAATAGGTTAAAATGCAGATTCTGGAGGCCAATATTTACATTCTAAAACATTATAACTAGAGGGAAAAGATATGAATACAAACTGTCCCACATTATCCCAGTGTTATTTAAGCACATTATAACACTACTTACATTTATAATAAGCAAACTGCAAGTAATGGTACATGGTGGCCACAAATTTCTCAACAACAAAGCCTCCTATAATGGGCGTCAGATTACTCTCACACTGCACTTTGCATGCAAGGACTTCAATATAATGATCTAGAAGAAATAAAACAACACAAGATATGGATATTGCACAGTGAATTGCTATAACCCCTCCCATTAGCTACCCATTAAAATTTGGCTTTATAATGTTCTCCTGGGTCCTGTGCATCTGGATCTTGCTGCTTGGAAGTACTGAGCATCTACAACTCCATCTGAAATACATACAGTACTGGTAGTCAGCCCTTCTGCAAAAATCAGCGTGGTCTGGACTCAAAATATATCAAAGCAGCAATTACAGAGAACTAAGCAGTTATGTTTCACTGACCCCTACAGGCAGTCTGTGGTGGTAGGTTTTATATAAAGTGTTATGGAGTATCACATTATTTCCTAACTGTGAACTTAACAGTGGGTTGGTTTTTTTTTTCAACTTTTGAGAGCCTTTGCAATTTCCTTGGATTATTGCATGAATAAGGTCCCCATGCTGCTGAGTACAACTGTGTCACAGAGAAATACAGCAGGTGATTGCAAAATAAACCTCCAGAGATGGCCACGTTTTGTACCTGCAGTTTGGGTGTTCTAAAAGAGAAGAGAGACACGAATATGCTGCTCACAGAACAACTTTCAGTCAGAAATGTTTAAGTTCACAAGCTTACCTGGTCTACAAAAGATTGGTACAATGAGATTAGGACTAGAGTTGATCTTATCTTCAAGAAAATACATTCTGAGAAAACCTTCCGTCAAAGAATTTAAAGAGTTTTCAGGATATATCACATCAGACAACACCACCACACAGAAATATTTTAAAGCCTTAGTTTCCCTGTTAGCCACATTTGGCAGGTGCAAGCAAGTTATCTGAGCCTGTGCAGCAAGTCTCTGACCAAGGCAAAAAAACAGCAAAGCCCCTTTCCCCTGTTTTCATCTCTGACAACTCCTAATATGAAGAACACTGAAGCCAACTAAAAATGACTGGCCAAATGAAATTACCAGTCCTGCCTTTTACAAGAGCAGGGGAGTCTCCAGACACAGCAGTGTTCAATTCCAGCTGGCAATTAAAGCCAGAGATGCAAGCTCCTCAGTGAAGCGATCCCATGCAATGAGGACAGCTGGCTTCCAAAGATAACTCATTGCTCAGGGATAAATACGTACCTAGCCCAATGACCAAATACCTCTGGTTAACATTTTTTGCTACATCTACTTTCTGCAGTAGAAACCTTGGAGGCAGGATATATCTCCCTAGAGCAAGAGCATGTTCAGCCCAGGCAGTGCAAGTAAATTTGAATTTTCTTATCTCTGCAACAAAGTATTTGAAATGCATGCATATGGCCATGATGACATCATGCAGTAACTCCTACCTTTCCTTCTCACCACTACTGCTGGCATTGTCCTTTATTTCCAGGGAGGAAGAGGAAGGACGACAGCAAGTGCCAATCACGCCTGAGCATGGACACTCTACTCTTTACAGTGGCTTGGGGATTATCCCGATTTCAGGGGTCTGACCCACTGAGGAAGAAAGCCTGTGCTTCATGCTTTATCACATGATTTGACCTTCCCTCCTTATCTGCTGTCCTAGGCACCTGCCTGCTTTGCCCAAGAGTAGAACAAGGCTTGAAGAATAGGCTGCAATAGCTATTCCACGTCACCTACACTGGCGGATACCAGTTCCTCACTGTGAGAAACTGCAGAGCTCTTGTACTTTACATTTACGTATCAACATACTTCACAAAAGTTCCCCCTCACCAACACATCTGATGGCTTTAAGACAAAAGGTTGGGTTGGTTTTCCTTCCAGCAAGTTAGAAATTCTGTTGCATTTTTCATGTTTTTATCGAGAAAACATACAGGCATTCCCCAAAGACTGAGCCCAGAGCACTGGAGAAATGACTTGTTTCTTTTGCTACCAAAGAGCATAGGAAACACATATGTGCCATTTTGACAGCAATCAAAAGTGGTATCTCTTTTTCTTTGCAAAGCAATGGATTTTATTTTTAAGCTACAGACTAAAGAAAAAGAAATCTGCTAGCAAAACTCTGCTGTAGGAAAGATGAAAAACAGGCAACAAAAACTTGTCGTATTTATGAGAAAGGAGATACATATGAGCAGTGGTACACAAATCACAAAGCAGATTTTGAAGGCAGGCTAACCACTGTGCCTCAAAGGCAGCCAAACTGATATTGAAATTACGGTCAAGAGATCTGTCTGGACAAATACTGCTAGCTGGATGGAATAGTTGTTATTACTTACACATCTATTTTATTCTGACACACAACTTCCATGTTAATGGAAGAACTCTCTGTTCGTGTTTTCTCACAGCCCTCATTTATGTTACTGAAAAGAAGAAAAAAGTAAACCAGAATTCAAGCAGTGTTCAGTGAAGCTAATAAACTCATATTGGCCCAAACTGCGCAGGGGGTGTATGTGCATTTCATACTGCAAAATGAGGAGCAGGACTTTGGTAGCTAATCCCATGGATAAAATACACTTTTGGGACATTTTTCCTTACTGTTTCCTAACCACTCACCTGCAATGGAGAGATAGAAGTCTTTAAAATCTTTGATCTCTCGGGAGCCTTCACAGGCTGCTGTACAGTCATCGTAAGCTTTGAAGAAATCAGGAAGAGCCAGTTCCATGTCTGAGATGGATGTTCTCCAATTGTCACCGTTGTATGCTCTCACAGCCCTGACAAAGAGATTCTGAAAAATTGGCAGGGCTGAAAACCAGCAGTAACTGATCTATGGAAACCTGTGTGTAAACTCAAATACAGTAAATGATGTCTCTGCGTTTCAGGATTACTATAGTTATCCAATTAATATGAGGACAACAACTACAGGTGACTAATGGATTTTAACAAATATTTCCGAGAGAGCAGAGTACATAATTCCATTTCAGATCAACAGAAAAAC